ATAGGTGTTCTGTTGTTGTTGCTGGCCCTTGTGTATATGTTACCGGCAACGCATAGAATGCTTAAAGTCAGTAGGCATAATAAATAGTAATGTTAATATTGTTTGGTTGCGTAAATGAAAATTAATCAAAATCGATTGGGTAAGCTGTCAAGATGGAGGTTGTGCAAGATAGTCACAAAAACACCAAGCTACTGAATCTGAACATAACAAAAGTTTTGAGAATTAAAAAAATGTTTTATGTACTAACTAACCTAACCTAACCTAATCTAACCAGACCTAACAAAAGTTTTGAGAATTAAAAAAATGTTTTATGTACTAACTAACCTAACCTAACCTAATCTAACCAGACCTAACAAAAGTTTTGAGAATTAAAAAAATGTTTTATGTACTAACTAACCTAACCTAACCTAATCTAACCAGACCTAACAAAAGTTTTGAGAATTAAAAAAATGTTTTGTATTGAGTTTTTGCAAATATAAAAGATAAAATAAAACTTTATAAATCGTATTATAGAAACTTCTTTGTTATATACTTTGCCTAAAGAATATGAGGCATTTTATAAAATTGCTAAGTATTCTATAGCAGTGGTATTCAACCGTTTTTGTTCGCGTACCCCCAGATATAATTTCTCTTCAACTTTGTACCCCCAAAGTTGTTGGTGTATAATTCGAGTTATACATATTATATAATCTACATCTAAAATAAATTAAATAAATTACATTACTGATTATTCAGTGTTTATCATAAAATAATATTTTTTTAAATTTCACGTACCCCCTAAGATGTTTTCGCGTACCCCCAGATATAATTTCTCTTCAACTTTGTACCCCCAAAGTTGTTGGTGTATAATTCGAGTTATACATATTATATAATCTACATCTAAAATAAATTAAATAAATTACATTACTGATTATTCAGTGTTTATCATAAAATAATATATATTTTTTAAATTTCAATTACCCACTAAGATGTATTCGCGTACAACCGGGTGTACCCGTACCCCAGGTTGAAGACCACTGTTCTATATAATACCTAAGCAAAGTATAAAATAAACGGTTAGTTTCATACATTGCCTAAAAGACCTAGGCATTCCATAGAATGCCTAAATTTAATACTTTGCCTACTGACTTTAGGTATTCTATACGTTGCCGGATTTCATAGTTTGCCGGTAACATATACAACATTAAAAAATGAATGAATTATATTCTCTCCGGTGATAAGAATGTGTGGGTGTCGAAGTAGAAGTTAGACGTCTCGAGTTTTTACGAATATTTTGACAGTAGGCCGTGACCGATTCCTTCCACATCCTTTCCAATCCACCCGCAATAGTCACATTCGACGCTGTATATATATATGCATGATGTTCTTTTATCGATGTCATGGCCTCTCCAGAGACGCGACCAGAACTACAACATTAACTTGGAAGAATGGCCGAAGTATAATCAGGATTAAAGGCAGTATATTAATAAGATGGAATGTTTTTGTTTTTTTTTTGCAAAACTTTACGTTCTGCGGACGGCACAATAAATGCATAGTGAAACACTTTGTCCTATCAGAAGCCAGTGAAATCAGCCCACTTTCAAATATAGGTCATTCATGTTGCTGTGGTTATCATCAAATGAGTTCTGTAATAGGTCCCACTGAAATACGATCAAGCTAGTTGATTGCTAACGCTGGTCTTGTAATCCTGGGGTCTCGGGTTCGAATTTATAACTTGTGTTGGGCAAGGCCTTGGTCTAGGCAACACGGAGTTTTCCTCCGGGGTCTTCCCCGGTTTCTCCGTGGCATCCCAACAGTTATTCCATTCACACACAGAAGAAGGCAATGTCAAACCACTTCTGGATCATCTGCCAAGAACGTATATGAACAGGTCCCAGTCCGAGAAAAGGATGGAAGGATCCTGTTCATATGGACCTGTCGTCAGACAGAACACTAAATAAAAATAATAAATATATAACCTGTGCAGTTGAGCAAGCGTGTATTAATAAAATAACAGACAAGAAGAGGCAACGAATTTTTGGAAGTCGTACCTTTGTTACAAGTAACATGAGTGCAGTTAGATGATGTGCGTTAGGTTTGTAAACGCAGCTGTGATGAATGGAAAGTTGCGGACGGACCCAGCTGCTTGCGTGGGTCAGAATCAATGGTCGAACAGTGTGTTGACATTTACGTTTGGTAGCTTTGACCACACGGGCATTAAATAGTCATGCCCCCCGCTAATCGTATTTAAGGATTCAATACGTCACCCTATCCTCGCCCTGTTAACGCCTGGCTCGTGTTTCCGAAGACCCCCTTGCTCAGTGACACTAAATTCAAAACCTTTGAAGGTGATAACAAAAGAGGGCTACATTATGATCTGCTTGAATTCAATACCCACCTTTCGGGAAAAGTCGATTTCTTTTCGTTAACGTCAGGGAACTTCTTTCGTTGATCTTGAAAGTAAATATCTGGAGTATCCTCCAGAACATTTATCTTATTACATCTTTAAAAAGTTATAAAACATTTCTGGGGTTTACTTGTACAGGGTGAGCACAAAGGAACTTCACACTTTCAAACATCGATCATCGCCCTGATGATGGAGGCAGTAAGGACGTCTGGACCGTTGGTAAACTTTTGCCAGAATACGTGGCGCCAAAAACCAGAAGACTGCCATCCTTTTGATTTACGAATGGTCTATTTCAGGATTTGCGTTATGCGATCAGAGATGTCGAGTATTTCGTCCTTGGTTAACATCTGTCAGTCTACTTCCGCAGTGTGCTGGGATGTGGTACGTGAGACCCGGGAATCATATCGGCAGAATTCTGTTAGATCTGTTCTGCGTATTTACCTCCACGACGAAACAGGTGTTCCAACAAAACACGCGGTTCTCAAGTGACGTGACCATTTTCTGAGCACTTGCGGTCGTCTGAAGAGCTCATCTGGTTGAGGGAAGGCAGTGGCGAAGGTCTTAGAACCACGTGAAACAAATGACGTACGCCACCTATGGCGTGTGTGCACAATCACCTTTGAAGCACTTCTCACGTGCCACACCTGTTCTTATAGGTTTACAGGGACTTTGCGATTACCCTGTACAAGACATCGAAATATTCATACAGCCTTATTAAGGTACAATTTGGCTGCACGCGACAGAGACAAGCGACCGAGGCAGGCGACAGAGACGGGAGACGGACTCATCGCAGCTTGTCGCCACACACTTTTGAGGTGACGACCGAGACATGCGGCAAAGTGTTTGTTTTCTTTGTTTTGTTGAGACATACGTGCACATATTCTGTGAAAAATGAGTACAAAAATGCTTCTAAAAAGGTTACTCGAAGAATAAGAAGAAGATGATGTGTTGCTGTGTTATTTGTTGCGAAAGAAACAAAGAAAACCTATGAGTTCAATATTCAAAACCAGACGCGAAGAAGGATCTTTCTGTCGGTGGTCAGTGGTCGGTTTTCTGCTACTAATTCTACCAATTGCTCATCTTGGTCACCAGTAAATTTAATTTCTGCCATTATTTTACTCAACAACACACGTGCTGCCTGAGCCCGTCGCGAGACACTACTGGTCCGAGAGCGGTCTCCTGTGCTTTGTCTCTGTCTCGCGCTCGTAATTGTACTTCATACGATCGTACAGAGAGCAGACAGGAAGCGACCAGTCTCGGTCTCGCAATTCTGTCGCCTGCCTCGGTTGCTTGTCTCTGTCGCGTGCAGCCAAATTGTACCTTTAGAATGTTTTATTACTAAATAAAGTACAGAATCATAATGTGTGAAAATCTACCCTCCGTCCAAACGAAAACCTGAAACCTGCTCTGCTTTCGAGTCCTGGTGAACGTGGTTTCTGGGGCTCTAGAACGGCGCTGATATTTTTAAAGTACGATATGAAATTATATAGTGAAACGATCCATCCAGCAAAGATTTGCCAGGTTAAAAGAGAAAGTAACATTTGTCTGCAAGTGCCGAGGCGTGGAATATGTGAAGGTGTGCCTCCATGTCTCCTGTAACCTGTGTGTGGGCACAAACTGTTCTCAGCACGCGGTTCGAAAAGACACGGCGTCTGCGTTTGAAACCGTAGTTTCACCTCGGTTAGATAAGACACTTTAATTTTGAACAGTTTGTTGGCGGATTAATTTACCCTTAAGAAAGAATATTAACGACACTCGGCCAGAGATTATCGGAAGGTTTACGTGGTTACAAAGTTACACAAAGCAATGTAGATCTTCGAGTATTTCCGAAAATGCAGTGCGTAGACTGTGCGTTGTGCCTACCCGCACACTGCGTGGAAGTGTTAGATTAGAAACTTTGAATTAGGAGCAATATGGCCGATTCATTCGAATGAAGTCATTGTATAATCGGCGCAATGGTTTTTGGCCGGTGGAGAAGCTATCGGAGCTGGCGTACGGGCCTAGTCTGTGTACCTGAGGTGGCACGGTCAGCGTATTTCTTTTGTTTAAGCGTTCAGTCAGCATTATACTATCGCAGAAGAGACTCGCTCCTAGCCTTCCCCTTGAAAATTCCACCGGCCAAAAACTACTGCGCCGACTATACCACCGGGAGAATGCTTCAGACTCGTAGGCTGGCCGTGGTAACACGACCTCATTTCCAGTAACCTAAATTTGGCAGATGGTAATAATATGGCTGCCTGCGTTTCCTGAAATTTGTATTGTCTGAGGCACTTCGCGAGTTGTCCGCGACCTGGACATTCGCGCGACGTCTCCTCTCCAACAGTTAACGTATCAGAAATACAAAGATATGATTTTACAATATAGATTAAGTTATGAATTTTGATTAATAAAGGTGCCGTCCAGTATAAAACGTATCTTAAGCCCCTTTATTGACTTATAAACTGGAGTAAACGCCAAGAAAACCCTATTTTCGTCCGTCACGGGTACCTTTGCGGAATCGAACTTTGGACTGGCGGGCATATCTGGGTGAAATATTCTTCCTATCACATATAACATCTCTGGTATTAAAATCTATATTTTTTAAAGTACCAGTAAATGTTTTTGTATGTTTCAGGTTTGTCCAAATGATCGGGACTGTGGTCACATTACTACTCCTGGTGGTTAAAGTGTCACCACAAGAGAGACCTCCCATCAATGACGTTGATCAAAAGAGACCCACAGGAATTGACTGGTCATCGAGAAACAATCAGCAGTGGGAGAACAACATGATAATCAATGAAGCGTGAGTTGTCTTGCTGTACATTACAGGGTTTAGCAAATTGTGTATTCCTGGAATATTTTTAAGATACGGAAAGTACTAACCTAACCTAAAACCAGATAAAGGGGGCGAAGAACATGACGAGATTTCTTTTATAGCTAACTTGCCACCCAGAATGCATGTTCCTTGTTTTATTACCACAGATGTTCTGATTATTGAGCGTTGCTGGGTGGTAGATGGAGCTTTCAATATTCCGTATTTGTTTTTGTTGCGTTGTCATGACAGTCAGTTGAAGACGAAACTTGCAATTGTACACATTGGCTGTCGAGTATTCTTGAATCACTCTATCTCAGAATTGAACCGAGGATATGAAGTTTTTTTTATGGATTTCCATGACACCTGTAGGCGGGTGCTGTGGTACTGATACCAAAGATGTGGAATAATTTGTCTGATTTCGTCCCCCCATTGCCACCAGAAAGATGCAGGATACGGGACATGATTCAGTAATCCTTCATGACAGTGTGTACACTCCCTACAGATATTTTGAGCATATCAGACAACTCTGCGATGGTACTTCGTCGACCGTGACGCACAATAATCGAGGTGGTGTTCACAGCCACGTCGTTAATTGCATTTGAGGGAGCTCCCAGCCCAATCAGCTTTTCGAAGGTCACCCGAGCTTCTGTGAACCATCGAAGTGCCGTTGTCTGAGGCAAAACCTATTCTTCCACATAAACCCCTTTTGACAAATTGTATGTTTAACTTCTTAAAGCGGTAACAACGCGGTTGTGCGACTTCGGAGGCGAGACACGCGTAGCTTGTAGTCAAGGTCACGGCAAGAGCACAACTGAACACGCAGCGACCTGGAACTGCAGGCGATGATTCACATCTGTCAGTGCTACCAATCACCACAAATGAAAGTTTTCTGAAGACAAAACAAGAAGAAGAAAATCATTCCCGGTCTTTATTGAACAACCCTTGTAGTTCCCCATGTTGGTCACGGTCTTCCAAATGGCCACTGGCCAAGGTCCAGCCAGTATTCTATTCGTTTTTCTTACGTCATTATTTGTGATACTTTTCTTGTGTATCGTAAACTCTGTTAATTGACTTGTAATCAGTATAGGAGACGTAAAGATGGCTGTCTTCTGGGTGTTAGCACTATGTAGTCTGATGATGGAGGCAGCAAATACCCCTGAAACAACAGTAAACTTCTGCCAACCTACATGGTGCTGCAAGACAGAAGACAATTTTCTTCATTCAACATCAAATTCTATTAGGAGAAGTGTAGTTTCTCACATATTTAACCCCTTTATACTCACGTGGAAGATAAAGAAGGAGATGGGAGGTTAAGGTTGCAATGAATCATCATATTGTAGAAGTGCGATGTGGGAGTGTGAAGTGGATTAAACTGGCTCAACAGTGTGTCCTGTTGTGAGCTTTGGTATCGGTAGCTTTGCACCTTCAGTGTGGATAAGAGATTTATGAATTTCTCTCCTTTATCCTGTAACACTCAAAACATTTGTATTACAATGTCTCAAATTTATTGATGCTGGGCCTTGTAATCCTGGGGTCTCGGGTTCGATTCCCGGCGGTGCCCGAATTTATAACTTGTGTTGGGCAAGGCCGTGGTCTAGGCAACACGGGGTTTTGTGGTCTAGCGGTTAGAACGCTGGCCTTGTAATTCTGATGTCTCGGGTTCGATTCCCGGCGGTGGCCGACTTTATAACTTGTGTTGGGGAAGGCCGTGGTCTAGGCACCACGGAGTTTTCCTCCGGGGGCTTCCCCGGTTACTCCGTGGCATCCGAGCAATTACTCCATTCACACACAGAAGAAGGCAATGGCAAACCACTTCTGGATCATCTGCCAAGAACGTATATGAACAGGTCCCAGTCCGAGAAAAGGATGGAAGGATCCTGTTCATAATGTCGCCAACCTCCTGTAAAGGAGACGGCGTAATAAAGAAGAAATCCAGCTGGATGTCCATTAAACTGCTTTTATTTACGGTGTTACCAGATTAAGAAGTGTTAATGTTTACAGGACGTACTTTATAATTGCGAGTCGCATGGTGAGGCCAGGCATCGTGTACCGAGTCTCGGTGTTGGTGCTCCAGGCTCCGCTGCCCCTTACTGTCAGAGTTGCTATCCAGAGGAATGGTGTCGAGATCAGTGGGGAGAGTCAGGATGTCAAAGAAGGTATCCAAGAGACAATCATCTTGAGGGTAAGTGTGAGGTTAGAAAAGCCTTCCAAAAATACGAGTACTAATTTGGGAAATTAATTCAGTAATATTATGATTTATTTACGCATCTCAGGAAAGACTTACTGCTGTCTGTGGATGTCAGTGTTAACTATTCTTATTCGTGTATTTCACTGAAGTAATCTCACTTTTAAAATTAAATTTTAAGGAAATTTACGTCAGTAGAAAGTTGAATGAGGGATACGGATGAACTTAACGGATTGTATATGAGCACAAATTGAATTGTTACCCTCCAATTCTGCTCTGGTTTTGGATTATGGCAGTGTACCCTCCTCTGAGTTCCTGACCTCAACCATTTCTTTGCATTTATTTCCTTTCTCTCCCCCCCCCCCCGCTTTATTCACATTTAAACATAAAAGCAGTGGAGTTGGTTTTTCGTATTATGACTGAAATTAAATTATTTTTATGCAAAGCCGATCAATAGCTTTCATATTTCTGCACAAAGGTTTGTTTCATTCGTCCGTGACAGCAGACTGACGTACAGGCAAATTGTTTCCTTTGTTTGGGGCTGCCCTAACAAAGTGGAATTTTTCAAACCACCCCCACACATAAACTTTTTTGTGGGACTCTGCCCATGTGTAAGAATGCGAATGCTATTGGTCAGATTGTTAATGAGAGATTCCGAAAAGGTGTTATGTTATTTTAATTTAATTTTTAACTGTGGCATGTTGAAAAATCAACCGCTTTCCTGTTGTTTTCGAATGTGAATAAAGGAAGGAAGGAAATAAATAATTAAGTAAATGAAAACACTTTAAAATAAATTAAATTTGATGGTCTCCATAGCCATGATATACTTGGTAAATAAAAAAAGAACATTTGTCATGTTATTCAGTTTTTGTATGTATAGAAATGTATATAAGTTGTATTCAAGGTCATGTTGGTTGGACGTGGAATCTCCACGTATTCAAGGTCATGTTGGTTGGACGTGATATCATAATTCACATATTTTCCATGTTTTTAGATCCATTGGCTGCCGAATTGTAGTTTTGTTGTTATAAATTAGCCAACAAATTTGTACAGGTTGAAAATATGTAAACGTAATGTTGCTTCTCATGTTTTTTTTCGTGCTTTTTTTAGATTCCTGCAACTAGTGTTACCGGGATTTACAAGTTGCGTATAGAAGGCAGCTATGACAAACTTATGGGAGGAATGGCATTCGTCAATGAGACGTACCTCACTTTCTCTCAGAGATCTATGACAATCTTCATTCAGACTGACAAGCCAGTGTACATGCAGGGGGATACAGGTAAGCAGGAAGGCACTTTCCTACATCTGTGGCGCTTACGGTAGGCATTGTGATCACAGGAATTTTTTATAAAGGCTGTGATTAATTTATTTATTGATACATGTCAGTAGTCAGTGGTTTAATTAAGTTAAACAAGGAACAGAAAATAATGGAAGATAATGAGATTGCTTTTCCTTTCTGAGTAATATGGCAAGTAAGCAAATAGGTTTCTATATACAGAGGGGGGTGTTTCACAAGATATTAGTCTCTCAGACACTGTTAGACGTGTTACGAAAGCTTTGGAAACTTAGTGTTGGCGGTGGTTGCCAGCAGGGAAGCACCGAGCCACCTGGTCGTGGCTTTGTTAGTAGTAGTAACGTAAAATGCCATCCCGAATCACTGGAATGCAAATGTTACAGCATTTGTGATGCAGACACAAACGGTTTGCTTATCCACGCAGATGGAAACATAATTGGCTGATTTTGAATATGTCATATTCATGATTTCTATTTTTATAGTTCGATTTCGCACAATTCCCATCAATACGGAGCTGCGAGCCTTCGATGACGCTGTGGATGTGTACATGTTGGATCCAAACAGGCACATCATGAGGAGGTGGCTTTCCCGACAGGTGAGCAAATGTGGTTGGGGGTTGACTAACACAAGTGTAAAGCGGCCCATCCACGTACGAGTCCGGCTCGGCTTGGGTTCCATCGAGCCAAACTCGTCTGTGGGTGGGGTGTCACGAGCCGAGTCTGCCGTGCGTGTGTGGTGAAATATATCCGAGCCCGGCTCACGAGTCCAGCTCGCCGAGCCAGACTCGCAAGTCAGAACTCGTACGTGGATGGGCCGCTAAAGGAGTGAGGGAGTTTACTGACCTGTTTCTGTCGTATACTTTAAATGTTCTTCTGACCCTTCTCCATCCATTTTATTTCCATCCTCACATTAACCAGGTATATATTAATGTTAGTGAAGTTTATCAAAGATGTCAAATATGTAAATTACGCAGATATAATACTGTACACAGTCATAATATGGTAGAAAATCTGTTAAGTTGGTAGTGTAAATTTTAAAAAATCTCTATCCCTCCCTTCTGGCCACAATGATGGGCAGAAATTCACTTTGCTTTGGTACTCTTGAACATTTGTTTTTTCCATTCACTGCAAATTTCAGTTTGTGATTTTCAATCATTATAGTGACTAGCTACGGGCTGGTCGATGGGTTCGATCCCCGATGGGGGACAGGATTTTTTTTCCTCTAGCCTCTGCGTCCAGACCGGCTCTGGGGCCCACCCAGCCTCCTCTTCAATGGGTACCGGGGTCCTTTCCCGGGGGGCGTGACGCTTACCACTCACCCCCATCTAGTGCCGAGGTCAAGAATGAGTAGGAGCTATACCTCCACTCCCCCCAAATGCCTACATGGTGTATAGTGGGACAGCTTTACTTTACTTTTTATGTAACCTTAAAGTATTAGACAATTCATGTCCAGGAGCAAGCACACTTCTGTCTTTCAGATGTGAGGGTTCTTATTGGTTGGCCTTTCCAGTACCAGTCACCGTTAGTATTCTCTCTCTTTACCACCTAGACAATTGGAGCAAACCTTCCCTACTCCACCACTTATAATGACTGTAAAGTACGCAGCCTTCAGTTTGTGTTGCTGTGGAAAAGTGTCGACGCAAATAGATGGAATTGCTCTCTCTTAGAAACAAGTCCAAGTATACAGTAGAATAACTTGAAGAAAATATTTGATGAGTGATTTCAAACATTCCCAAGAAGAGATTTTGTCGAGTGAAATTTGAAGCTTGCCTGCAAGAGCAGAAAGTCGCTTTGATCATCTTTTGCGATGCAAGGCAAGAACAGTCGATGTAATAACGTGTTCGTGACGAGAAACACTCGTTGTTCCTGTTATCAGCTGGAAGTATGGCTTTCAGTTTCTCAGCTTCTGAGCTGGGTTTGTCAGGAAAATGTCCAACAGGCTTACGGCAGGGTCATCAATAGAAGACCCAGTACCTATAACTTTGTGGTATTTGTGGTAAAACAACTTGGAATATTAGTGTGTCTTTGAATAATCAATAGTCTTTATATTGGCTCAAGATTTATCTACGTTCTTCCTGAGTTTTGCAGCGAAGGGTTCTACTTATGATTTTGCATTTCCTGCAATTTATACTTTCCCACAATTTACATAATTTTTCATCAATACCTAGAAACGTAAGTAAGGGGTTCCACTGTATCTTAAAGATAAAAGTTTCCTACCACACACTGAAATCTTAAATTTTGAAAATTTTCCTGCCTCGGATAAATCAAGTGAATGGTCAGCTGTTGCAGCATTTGTATTGTGTTATTTTTGCATGTAATAAAAATATTATGTGTTCTTATTAATCAATTGCTGTGGTAGATTTTTAGATGCAGCAAATTCTGGGAGACAGCCTGTAGTCAGTATTGTCAATATTTTCATTCAGCAAGTGGTTAAAAAAGCTATTCTTCTGGTGGTTCATCAAATATGGATTTCATTTTATTAAATTTGCATATACTTGTTTCTATTTGCTAAATCAGAAACTTGATGTTATCATACCGATATGTCGTCGTTTAAACATGTATGATGTTTACAGTCAAATTTTGGCACTGTGAGCTTGAGCTACCAGCTTTCGGACCAACCCGTGTTCGGGGAGTGGATCATCCAGATTGTTGCACAGGGGCAGATTGAGGAAGGAACGTTCTTGGTGGAGGAATACTACCAGACAAGATTTGAGGTAAGGAATGTTGTGAATATGTTTGAGATGATTCTTTTATTCACTCCTGCTTGTACTCTATTACCTTTTTATGAACCACCTGGTTACCGCCTCTGTAGCCTTTGGTTCGGTATTCGGGAAATCACAGTCCGTCAAACTGGTTTATTTTTAAAACTGTGCTAAGTGTATTTCATATAATTATAATGGTGAGAGCTGTTCTCTGTAAAACCCGGTCTGCCATTTACTCGAGGCTGGCAGTTTTAAATTTGTATTTAATAAATTGGACCTGGCACAGTAATGAAATAAAAGGATAAGAAATGTTTTCAGTTTCAGTTGTTCATCGTTCTGAAGAATGTTCCTAATTTGCAGGTGAACGTCACAATGCCAGCATTTTTCTTTGACACGGATAGATACCTGTATGGTACTGTGATGGCAAATTACACAAGTGGAGCTCCAGTCCGCGGGAACCTCACACTGAAAGCTACTATCCGACCCATCAAACCAGCATATCGAAATGTGGATCGCAATCCAGTCGTGGAAAAGTACTTCAATTTTGTAAGTACCAGATTGTGTGAATACTGGCTGGAACCATTAAATTCGTTGTTTACGCATTGAAATCATCACTGACCTCTGTTTAGTCTTACTGCACAGTCTGATGGATAGGATTTATGTTTAGGATTTTACTAATTCAAATCCTGGGCAGGTTTGTTGGCTCGCTTGACTGAAGTTTTTGTAATTTTCCTCATTCTCCAGGAACGGTAATAATTTCAGGTTTGCTATGACTGCATCTTTGCACTTAACCTAATCATTCATGAATACATTTCTATTACATTTGTGTATTTTACTGTTGTTTATTGTTGTATTAGATTTTAAGAACACAAACTTCTGTTTCAGGGTGTAATGTCATTGTGGTTGTAAAGAGTTTGGTATGGAGGGTGTTATCATTTAAATCCCAATGACAATTAATGGGTTAAGCTTAAATGTTAAAGATCAGTTTTATGTAAGGATTATTGTACAAAATGAAGTAACATTCTCTGGAACGGAACTGAAAGGAAATTACAGTGACCATTTGTATTCATTTAAGAAGGAGATTCTGTGCATATCTCAGTTTTGTTGCATCCTCCAAGCCAGCTTGTTACATATCCTGAATTTGTCAACTTGTCATTAAAATGTCTTTCTTTCAGGATGAAAAGTACCCTTTCTGGTTCCCGTCTTTTCACAGTGATAGACAGTGGGATCCAGTACCCCACCTGAAATACGTAAGTGGGGGCCTTTATTCAGATGGGACTAAAATTTATGGCATGAGTGACGGTGGTTTAGTTTCGGGTGCTTCATTGCATCTACTGTTATATGCCCTCGTGAGCCAATCAGTTTTAGCCTCTTGTTCAGCTAGTAAAGTTGTCTTATGTTGCATATGAATCCAGCGTTTGTGGCATATGTGGATATCATGTTGCATGAAGCAAGTTGTTGATATTCAGCATTAAGTATGCAATTGGTGAATTAAAACATGGAAGATAAACATCACAGGCGCCAGGTTCTACGTGAGCAGGCCGTAGAATTGGTGAATAAAGTTGAGTCTAGAAGCAGATGCAATGTTTCTCTCACTGCACCACCACCTTCGTTCGTGTCATTGCGTATAACTTGGCTCGATACTGGCTGTTACTAACATTGGTGCTGGCTTCCCACTTACTGTCGCCCTGTTTCTTCTTTCAGTAATAGGTACGGAACAAAGTGTGTTGATTGAGAACAAGGATGCCCGACATTATGCCTGCAGTTACCTTGGGGCCCATGTGCTGTCATTCTGCGTAATCTGTATACAATCTAATGAGATATGATTTAGACCTTTTGTCCTAAGAGAGTAGGTGGTCTGAATATAGGAGTTTTAGACTGATTCTGTTTTTGCTATAGGATTGGAATTTGAGATCGTAATTCTGCCATCTTTGAAATATATGGGAAAGGAAGGTTCAGTTATTATCAGTGGCCAAATTGACATTTGTGGAATAACATTGATAATGCATACCAAATATTTAGGTATTTTTCTTTCACTGCGTGGCTATTGCCATTATACTTGCTACAACTACCTCGAGGATTGAGCCCAGTGACCTGTTCCAACCAGATTAGAATCTCCTTTCATCAGACCATTTTTCTTGATTGTGTATTAATAGAGTAACAAGAATCCATGGGCAGTCTTCATTTAGCATCATTGTGTCGGCTCACTTCCTGTGTCCCTCAACCCCTCTAAGATCTTCTGCTCACTGTTTATACCCCATATCTCTAGGAAAAAGGGAATTTTATGTTGGGTTAGCAGGGCAAAGTTTGATTATAAAAGATACTGTCTTTTGTTTTGAGCCACACAATTTTTTAAATGTTAAAAGCTTTCACAGAAGTTTTCATTAGGCCTGGCTTTATATAAAGTGGATGAAGAAGTACCGACTGATGGTCCACCAACAAAGATCATATATTTAAATGCTTTCTTCAGGAACAGTGAATTTCAAATCTCTTCTTTACTGCCAACTGTTTCTTGTGTTTGATTGTGGGGCATGTTCTTTTAAGTTTTCTTTATTTAATTGCCATCGACCACATGTATTGAAGGCTTTTTGTTACTCCCTTTAAACCTATTTTAGATGAATCAATAAATAGCCACCCTTCTTCTCTTTTATGTTCAAATCCCAGTTGTCTGTCAGCCCATTCTTGTGCAGGCACACACAGAGGGAGTTGTGCATATCACGGAGTGTTGACGGTTTCTTATATATTTTTCTAAATACACAAATGTTTATAGATTCAGCCTTGTACCATGTTTCAGATGGGACTCAAAAGGATCTGCATGTTTCTTTGAGAGATATGGATCATGTACTAATCATTAAGCCCACTTTGCCCAGTTAACAGTGGTTCCGTGCAGTCCTCTACCTCGTCATCGAAAACAGAAAGTTGCTTTCAATTAGTTGATGGTACAGGAGTAGGAAGATCTCTGTATTGCACAGACTTTATTCCAGGAGGAATGTGTGTTTATTCTGTTTTATTTTTACTGCTCCTTGAAAAACACGAAATTTCAGAGATCCTTGCTGCCTCCATCATCAGGGTAATGAAACCTGATGATGGAGGCAGCAAGGATCTCTGAAACATCGGTAAACTTCAACCAGATTACATGGCTTTACAACCTGCAAGACAGCCATCTTTGAATTGTAGTTGGTATCTGGTTCAGAAACTGTAACTGGACAGTATGGGCTGTTTTTTTGAGAATTTGTTACATGATGTAGTTAATTAGGAAAAAGTGGAGCCCTTGGAATACAGAAGTGAAAATGGAAGGGTAGCAACATGGAACTCCAACCCCTTGGCATACTACTTTTGCTTTGGCTACTCAGAACACATATACAGTCTTAATTAAGATGTTTTGAAATAAATACATCAGGTCTGTCACAATTTCTATGCATGTACACATGTGCTCAATAAGTGATATTTTGCAGCCGTGAAGGCATGTTGTTGGGTCATGGAATTCAGTTTTGACGGTCTGGATTGCATGTGATCGGTTTAGATATGATTCAGGGACAGTACTTTCAGGTTCATTTGCACCATTGAATATCTTGAAAGAGGTCTTCCCAGTGTTACATCCACCACTGTGGTTGGGTCACTCATATAATTGTTAAACTAAATACTTTAATTACAGTTCTATGGAGTTTACCATTTCCGGTATCCTATCACAGAACTGGAACAGTTTGTGCCAACTCTAGAAGGAATGGAGGTGACGGTAACAGCTACGGTTGGCGACCGTTTTCTGGACGAGATTATAGAGGGTTACTCCACAGCTCAAATATTCAACTCTTCCATCAAAGTTGCATTTCTTGGTGGGTCTCCACAAGTTTTCAAGCCGTCCATGCCCTTCTACTGTTACGTAAGTCTGGGTAAACTAAAGAGAAATATGGTTGATGTATATAGTATGTGTCCTTGTTTCCTTTGTATGAAATTCATAAAATTGATGTATTATGTTAAGGTTTTATTTACATGGTTCTTCTCTGAAATTGAGGGCAAATACTAGAAATTGTCTGCAACAGTATGTGTTTCAGATTGTCATTTGCTTGTAGATTCTGTATAATCTGAATGTTGCAGCATTTTGGGAATAAGGCTGAGAAGATGTAAATAATTTTATATTTTTGTTTTTAGGTTGCAGTGTCATTCCAAGATGGGTCACATCTTCCTCGTGAACGCCTACTACAAAGTAGGATGGAGATTAGATCAGAAGTTGTTACTCGAACTGGTGGCCGGAGAAGCCTTGATTATCAGGAACTTAAAATGTCAGCTGAGAAAGTCGGAGTTTGGGAAATGAAAGTGGATCTTAGAACTCAGCTTGGTAAGCATCTCAATTTCCCCCTGTATACAGTCTGCTATAAATCATGTCGCTAGTTGTTAGTGTGCATAAGTTTTATTGTCCATTCTTCTTGACTTAGCTGAATGTATGTTACACTAGCGCTAAACCATTAACCCTGGTTTAAATTCGCATTCCCATATTACAAGGCTCAATGTTACAGGTTATGATGAAAATCAGCGAGCCAGAGAGCTTTTGATTGACATCCAGTCAATGCGAATCACAGCTGACTATTCTGATAACACAGGTGAAAGAGCAACGTCAACCATGCTGTTAATGTCTCACTTTTCTCCCACAAACCACCACATCAAAGTGTCAACATCAACACGAGATGCTAAGGTACAAATATGGGATGCTTTCTTTCGCTCATTTGGGGTTGCTACATTTTGAGTTTTGTCTTTGTAATTATATGTTTTGGATTGTTACAGAGAAAATAGAACATCAGTGTACAGTGGTGTACACCATTGCTTCCTATTTGTGGGGTCATTGTTTCATATCTTGGCTGAGAGACCATTTATCATGGCAGAGATTGTAATGGTTTTACCCACTCTTCTCATGTAAATACTGGGAACCTTCAAACAGAATTTAACCACCACCTTCTACGCAATATCCCAGTAATCATTCATATAATTCTGTTATTTGACACGATATAACTGGTATAGTGTGACAAAGTGTTTTTGAACGATATTGGAGTACTCTATCTCCAATTTTAAATACACGTATTTTCTGAATATGTTCATTTTAATATTGCATATCTTATAAATTTTGATGTTCATTGCCCTGAAGCTATTGAACAGGAAACATTTTTGTGTTCTGTTGTTCGCATAGTCCA